GTGCAGGTATCTATCTGTATGTGTGGGTTTTCTGTATACTGTGTGTTCTTAACCCCACCTCTCTTCCTATGCTCTACCAAGCATGCCTTTCATTTGTGTCTGTGCACGTTTGCTTTTTAAAATGCAATTCTGGAGTTATGCTAATGCAATTTAACAAGAAAACAGCAAAGAAAGAAAGAGAGAAACCAAACAAAACAGGCTGCTTTGGATTAGTGAAGTGGAAGGAGGATGGGGGCAAGGAGGAGATGCTGACACCATCTGACTGCCCAGTCTCAGAACTACCACAGGAGTAATTTACAGCACCTGAGGACTAGTGCTATACCAGCACAATTGGGAGCTTATTGATAGGTTTTCCCTATCAATGGCAAGATATGAACTAACCACACTTTGAGTACAAGGCAGTGTTGAGAAGGAGGTGGCGTCATGCAGTTGGTATTGCCAAAGATGCTATTATCCAACTTTTATGGTGGTTTAAAAGCCATGTTGGATAAAGTCCTAAGACTATGAAAGCTTATGCTACAACTTCTTTTGCAATTAGTCTCAAAGATCCCTTTGCATACTGATATTCCAGACTTAACACAGGTCTCTGAATTCATACACTGTAGAAGGTTTCCTTTTGCCATTTGTTCTCTTTGTATGTAGAAAAGTAGAAGATACATTCAGCTATAATACAAATGATGTGAAATCAACTTCTGGGTGTTTTCAGAGGTCTTCAGATTTAAAAAGTTTCTTAAAGCCCCCAACTGTTGTCCTTGCCATGCAAACATTTTCCCTTTTTGCAAGTTTCCTTTCTCATTCTCTGCTGAATCCACCTTTTCCTTCCATTTTAATAGGCTTGAGGGCAGTCATTGGATGAGTCAAAAACTTTCCTGTTTGTGGAGATGGGGAAAGAGAAGGAAAAAAAAGAATAATAAAATAATAATAATAATAAAATTTATTTATACCCCGCCCTCTGAAATATCAATCTGGGTGGCTTACAATTAAAATGTATACATTCATAAGACATATATGTACAATAACCCCCCCACCCCCCCTTAAAACAGTATTAAATCAAATGAATTATAAAACAACATAATACACAACTATTTAAAATAGAGACCCAGAATATATGCCCAGCCAGAATGATCCAACCATCGATGATGGGGCCATGTGAGGATCACTGGGGAGGGATATTTTATTTATATTTATACCCGAGGCTAGGTAATTAGTCTGGAAAGGCCTGCCAGAAGAGATCCATCTTGACAGC